ATTGGAAAGCAATTATTGTTTATTGGGTTTGTAATGAAATTGAGGACAAGCCATTCGACTGCTCATCAGAAGCTGAGTACTTTTCGTTTTAGTCCTCTCTGCTTCGTGCCTCTGCCATGGACGAAGTATGATACTGAGGATGAAATGAGTGAGGATTCCAACTTCCTTAACTTTGAGTCATATTTTATTTCATCTACTCCCTCTTTTTCCTCCCTTTCACGTGAAGTATTTTGTATAAGAGGCTGAGGTACATGTCCATCAAGTGGGAATTTCTAAAAATCAGTGGTGTTTCCTCCTATTCCCACCCTCTCCTTGGAGTGAAGCCCCTGGAGTCACAGACCTGAGGTTCTCGTCTGACATGGCTCCTCTCTCTTGAGGCAGGTATCCATCTCGTGGAACAGGTTCTCCTCTAGAGAATCCCTTCTTCTTGCTGAAGCTGAGAATGGGTGCTTCATGGTTAGGATTTAAATTCAAATGGCCTATCCTTTACACTAGGATGCATAACTCTAATATTTGATACATAGTCATACCTCTGAGCTAAAATCTGATGGTCCTTTTAGGACCTATCTCTGCTAGTGAATTCTTAATAGTTCTGATATTCGTTCTCCTTTTTGCTGAACCCTTAACATTCCTCCACTTTCATTGCCAAGTCCTTTCCATAGCATTTGCTATGTGCTGGCCACTATTCATACAGATGATTCATTAATTTAACTCTCAGAACAACCTAATTAGGCACTACTATTATTTTCTTTATAGATTAGGAAATTGGAGACTGAAAAAGTAGTTTCTAGCCAAAGGCCACACATACAGCAAATAACAAGCTGGGTTCAAACCAAGGACACTCTTGCTCTTAATCCACATTTGGGTCCACATTTTCTATTGGTTATTTCTGCAATCCAGATTCTGAACCAAATTGCAAGTGCATTTGCTCTTCTCTGCAAGAATCCCCATCCCTTGTTCCCAGGCTCCCAGATAACTCACATTTTATACAGCCCTGGGAGACTCTCACCTTTGTAGGGCAGATGTTTTTGTTTCCGTACTTGACACCGCACGAGAAATAGAACAAACAGAGCCAGGAGAATGAGCCCCACGATACCAGATAAAATAAGTGCTGAATGACCTGTATAAAAATCAAACATTGGTAAGTATTAAACTAGTAGATATCAATTGTGAGTTTATACATTGGAAAAGGAGCTGGTTCCCTAGTTGCTGAGAAGAATGATGGCCGCACATTTCAGCACACTCTTGAACAGAACAGTACATAATCTCTGGAAGCTATTTTCAGTGAAAACTATCTCTGAACAATAGACTCCATTGAATTGAATCCAAATCGTTCCATAATTCTATTGGTCTAAATTACCTCCAATTGTATACAAAAAGTTCCATGATTGAACCTTTCCTCTTGTGTTGCATTCACCCCTAAAACACCAGGTCCAGAAAATACCTAGGTCTTGAGGTGTTTCTGCCAGTCTGATAAGAATATTTGAGAACCTGTAGAGATAATTCTATCTCTGAGGGTAACAGGAGTGTCTTATCTTTCTCCACACAAAAAGAGAATTTTTCTAAAGAGAAGCTTTGTGTAGCAGAACAGTCATAGAGCAGTTGCTCTAGGATGCCAGTTGCTGCCCTGCGTGGTTTCATGATTTTGGTAGGCTCCAGCCTTCTTTGATTGTCATTGAAGTTA